CATTCTTAAAAACATTGGTTTTCACAGCTATATGAAAGTTGATTTATTTGATCATCCTGGAAGACAATTGTTTGCCTCCCACAGCTCACAATCAATGTTTTAGACACTTCAATTTAGTATTTTATTATTTCTGAAGGATTTTTTTTATCCACAACTGCTTTCTGTTCAACATAATTTAATACAGCTTCTCTCTCAATGTCATTTAATCCAATTAATTGTGCCAAATGTTTCTTCTTGGTTAATAATTCCTGTGTACTTTATCACCAAGTGGCACATCAATAACCTTTGTCTAATGTTTTCTTCAAAGTGATTGTAATATAATTATCACATCAGCTGAAATCCAAAGAAACTATTTAGACATGTGGTGAGAACAATAATTGCTAGTGTCTTGTCTTTGGAGTTTTCCTGCAGCATACTGACAAAGAGTCAAGCAACTTTTTAAACTTATTTAAGCATCTGTTTTCGCATTTGATGGTGGAAAGTACTGCAGCAAAGCCTTCAGCACTGTGACCTGATTCAGACATAACAGGAAGCTGCCATGGGCTTCTCTATTGGGCTACTCTCCAAATTGGCCTTAATTTAAATATGCAAGCCCCATCAAGAGTACACCATAGCTTTTTTGTTATTTGCAAACCTGGTGAGGATGGGTTGTCAGGGTGGTTGAGAAGCCATTTGCAACTCTAAAATAGCCCGTGGTTTCTGGGCAACTTGTCAACTACCCCAACAACCCAGCTTCACAGGGTTTACACATAACAAGCTATGGCATGCCATTGCTGCAGTTCAAATCTTCAAAATGGCAGCTGTAGCCACAAGAAGCAGTGCGGGGAAATTCACCTTTGGTGGCTTCTCAGTATGTGTAAACTGGACCAGTGTGCACTTCCTTTCTACTTCTCATATGGCTAAATAACTTCTTTGTATTGTGGTTCTGGTAGTATTAGGGTGAATTTTGATGTAGATTTCATTGCTTTTGAATCAGATTATTCTCTGTGCCAGCAGGTGACTTGGTGTCAGTTGCTTTCAGAACAGGCTTTTACCTTGCAGTCACCTTGCTTTACACCAGGGGTCGCAAACTCAACTTACCTGGCGACCGCTGGAAGTAGAGTCTGGGTGAGGCTGGGCCGCATCAAGCAGTGGTGGTGGGCCGCTCATCCCACGTCGCTCCCAGAGGCCGGCCCAGGCGCCGCCGGCGCTCTGAAGGCCACAGGGCCCCTCCCCCATGCCCTGCCCATCCCGGCAATTGGCCTGCGGGCCATGAGTTTGAGACCCCTGCTTTACACACAGATTTTTTATTTTTTTCAGGGAGGTTCCGTGTGGTGTCATCTTACATTTTTCAGAGGGACTGGACTAGACTAGACACACTGGTACCCAGTCATACTACATTAAAATTTTGGATCTCTTTGCTAATTTGTATGGGCAGCACTCCTTTCTGTCCCTGGGGTCATCTAAAAATTGCTCTGCAGTGCGAGCCACGTAATGACTTGGCCTGATCATAAGATGGTTGCAGGGCCAGTGCAGTGTGTTTACCTGCTTGATGTACAGGCCAGCGTGGCACCCCTCCCATCCAACTACAAACAGATTGGGCTTTTTCTTCAGGATTGGTGGTGGGACAGCATCCTTTGTCACACCTGAAGGCAGCAGGCTAGCTTTGGGAGGGCAAGCCAAGCTGCATGGCCCAAATAGCTCTGTCCTTCAGGATGCTGCTACTGCTGCTGAAGCAGCTGCCTTATTTTGCCTAATGGCTTGGCCATCTCTGAGTGGTTCTCTTTGCACTCCCAATATCCATCTCTCTCTCTCCTCTTTTGCTTCTTTCTCTCAGAGAAGGAAAGACAAGAGAACTGGAGCACAAGGCAACTGGGGAAAAGATGCACGGCTATAACTGCTCCCTTTCTCCTCCTTACCGGGCCATCCTGCTCCTCGCCTTCTCTCTCTCTCTCTCTCTCTCTCTCTCTCTCTCTCTCTCTCTCTGGCTGAGGTTGCACATAACACAAATGGTTACCATGCAGTTGCCTATCTTACCTCCTTTCCTGGGTTCACACATTTGCATGGCAAATGTTCACGAGTCGTTCTGTGCACCTCCATCTTTCCTCCAAATGGGAGCATTTACGAGGCCCTCCCAGCTGGGGATCCATCCCTGCATGCACCAGTCCTGCTTGTCCCACCCACCTCGCCTTTGTTGGCCTGCTTGCTCCCTGGGCATGTTCGCAGCCAGCTGCCTTTCATGGCGGGATGGGTGAGGAGAGGTTCTGCTGCTCAACAAGAAGGCAGGGAGTAGAACTGTTGCTCTAGAGGAGTCCTGCAGGAATGCCTCCTGCCGCAGCTCTGCTCTGTGCCAATGTGCAAGCACAGCATCTACACCCCCTTGCTGCACATGTGTCCATTTCAGACACACACCCGTGTGCAGGACTCGCACATGCTACCTATCTCCAAGGACGCTGCTGCTGGAGATGGTGCTACGCAATCCCCTGCCGCTGCTGCTATTCCAAAGCTGTGTCTGGGCATCAGGACAGAGGGGGAAATGAGCGTAATGTCCCCAATCAGAGTTCGGTTGCAGCTGCTTCAGCAGTGGCTGGGCAGGGCAGGGCAGGGCAGGGCAGAAAAACATGGAGCTGGAGCATCAGCTGCTGTCATGGCTGCTCCTGCTGCAAAATTCAACGGCAGAAACTGGAAAACTACAGAAAAAAGCATAGCGACTGAATTCACACATAACAAAAAGCAGTGATGAAATGTGCAATCCTTAGAGCACACCACTGATCCTCCAGGGATTCGAGGTAACCAGACATGCCACACTGCACCCTGCTTACTGAGTTCACACGTCGCAACAAACCAGTCCTGCCATGGCTTGTTGTTACATGTGAGCACAGCCTCTTTCTCATATCTATAATTTTCTGCCAGGTGAGACTGCCTTAGCTGCATCAACTTCAACCTCAGATTCCATTCCCCTCTCCCTTTGCTTTGTTTTTCTCTGAATCAGTGTCCCTGGTAAGAGCACACTTGGCCTTTATTACCTTTGGAATGTTGGCCCCAAGGGGGGCTTGATTTAACTTGGGGGTTTGTATTTCTGAAATCCTTGGTGTACGTACTTCCAAGCATGGCGATACCTCTCTCCTGTGTGTGGGTAGTGTTGGAAATAGACTCTATGACAGTCAACAGTTCCACTTGAATGTGTTTTTTAATAAGGCATGTTTATCACTCGGCACAAAAGTTGGCTTAGTGTTTAACTTAAAATCTAACCTAACTAATCATCCCTTTGTTATGCATTTAGAGTGCACAGACTATAGCCAGGATCCCAAGAATTACACAATTTGTTTTACACATCAAAGAGAGTTTGAACTTGCAGATGTTTTATTTGTTCACTTGCTTGCTTTTGACTTCTTTTGGGCAAACTATTTGGCAAATCGTTTTTGAAACTTAAGGGGTTTTCAGAAGTAGTTTGCAATATGGTATTTGGAAGATGTACACTGACCACAAGTTTCAGTTCAGATCTTGATTTGGCACTTGGAAAAGCATCCTGAATAAACTTGGACCCATTTGGAGCTGCCTGACTGACACAGGGGCTCTCTCTAAATTTCCTAATTATTGTCCTTGGATATTGCAAGTGCATAGTACTTTTTTCTGTTTTAAATTGAATGATATTTTCAGGAATACTAATCCAATATGCTAAATTTCAAGATCAGGAGCTTCCTTGTCTGTGCCTTGGTGTCTTTCTGAATGCAAATTGCAAACCAATCTTCAGGTGTGTTCAGATTCAGCTTTGGTCCATCTCTGTGTCATGTGACACTGTTAAGGTAAACAAAGGACCAACTCCAATTGGTTAGTTAAGATGATAGAAGCTGCATCCAGACAAGACTGAGGTAATGAAGATCTGCCTGAACTGTGGCTTGAAGTACATAGGGGCATTGCTTGCTGTGGGGTTCCACCTCCTCTGCTCAGTCAGGCTTGCAAGCTTGAGCTCCCCCTCCATCCAGGTGCTGCAAGTACTGTAGCCAGAGGTGGCTTTTGGCAAATCCACTGCTTCTGCAGTTTTGGCCCAATTACCAATAATTCATGGACCATGAACTCAAAGAGAGCCTGCTATAACATATTGTATATAAATTTACCCTTGGTGAGACAAGATGGTTGCTCTGTTCAAGGTTCCTCAATTATATTTGATTTTCTCCTCAAAGGGACTGACTTGAACATTCAGCTTTAAAAAACACACATATTGTATCTGTGGGAGTGCCTCTTCTTCATCTCATTGCAATATCTCCAATGTACTGAGGGTGCATTAAGAAATACATCATTTTATTTATATATTTATTGGTGAACTCATATACCACTAGGCAGGGCCTTTTTTGTCATTAGAACGCACCAGAACGGTGTCCCGGCACCTTTTTTTCCCAATGGATTTTACAAAGTGATTTTGAATCGTAGCAGATCAGCAGCAAACATCATTAACATGGTGCCTGCGGGCTGCTTTTGTGTCTGCTCTCTGCAAGTGAGATAGGGAGGGCCTGCTGCTGCTGCTCGGCTTGGTGTGTGTGGTCGCGCAGCACACTGAGTGCTTACTGCCGGCGGGGATGTGAGTTCCGGCACTTTTTTTTTTTTTTTTTTTTTTTACAAAAAAAGCACTGCCACTAGGTATAATAAAATCTCTAAGCTATTTTGTATTCTTTTCTGCAATAAGTTAGAACAATAGTGATACAAAAAGCAAGTCACTTTGGAATCCTCTTTTTCCTGTTTATCTCCTGGAGGCCTTGTGAGATAATTTCCATTTGGGGCCAGGATTAGTGGCCAGAGATTAATAACACAGATATTAACTATGCAATTAAAATTGCCTTTGTTTTTTTAAAGTGTTATTTTCTGCTGCTGTTTTTTCATAAAAATTGTATGGGATTTCTTTAGCATTTGTTACTTTTTAATGCATTGTGTACAGTACAAAAATGCCATAAATTCACAATAGTGTGAATCATATATGCCGTGTCTGAAAAGTCTGAATACTTTATGTTCCTTTATGATTTCAGGAGCACAGAAGTTATGAGCACTGTCTCAGGTACTCGAAGTTCAACCATCACTTTTACTGTCCGGCCTGGGACCAGCCAGCCAATCACACTGCAGAGCAGGTCCCCAGAGTATGATAGTAGGACATCAGGAGCAAGGCATGCTCCAAGCCCAGTGGTCTCACCAACAGAGATAAGTAAAGACGTCCTGCCCGCTCCTCTGACTGCTCCTGCTCCAGTTGCATCTCCTTCTCCAACTCTTTCTGATGTTTTCAGTCTACCCAGCCAGCCTCCTTCTGGGGACCTCTTTGCTTTGAACGCAGGGCGCAGCAGGTCTCCTTCTCCCTCCATTTTGCAACAGCCAATCTCAAATAAGCCTTTTACAACTAAGCCTGTCCACCTGTGGACCAAACCAGATGTGGCAGATTGGTTGGAAAGTTTAAACCTAGGTGAACATAAAGAGACCTTTATGGATAATGAAATAGATGGCACCCATTTACCAAACCTTCAGAAGGAAGACTTGATAGACCTTGGAGTGACTAGAGTTGGTCACAGAATGAACATAGAAAGAGCCTTGAAACAGCTCTTGGACAGATAAGAACAGCTGCTCTTGCCTCAGAAACCTTTGTTATAAATAGAGATGGGCTGGTACTGAAACACCCCAAATGCCTTGACTCCCTAAGAGCACTACTAAATTAAAGCCTCAGCTGGTCCCCGTATTTTCTAATTTGTAACAGTGTAGAGCGTAGTGTTTAGGAACATCCCCAACTAAATTTTCATTAATAGGACCTAATATTACAAGAAGGAAGGAGCAAAGTTGGGGAGAAGATGAGGAAAGGAAACTTTGCTAACTTCCAAAAGTTGTGCATACTTGGGCATTGAAATTATTTCAATGCCCTTACTGGTTTCCTACTGGGAAGGCGGGGAACAGGACTTAAAATCCATCTTTGGGCATTCTCCTCTCCAGAAATGCTCTTCTGCTTGAACAATAATGTACCAGTCTCTTTTCAGTTTAAACTCACATGTTTCTCAATTCACGATAAAGTGCTACTATGCCTAGCCCTTTTAGAAATACTTGCTTCCCCCACCACTATTCACATGTCCATTGCACTCAATGACACTGCTTCTGTAAGTTAACTTCTCCGTGGGTTTTGCCATTCTGATTCTCTGTTCAGTCAATTAGTGTTTCATACAAATGTTCCTATTTTTTGTGATGTATTTACTGGTTTTCATTAGAAATCTGTACATTCATAGAATTCTTAAAACAGAGTTTTCACAGAGTTCGTGAAATCTTATCAGCCTGACTATCACATTTCTTGGTTTCTCAGTGAAGAAGTCAGTTCTTGTCATCCAGTGTAACTGTACTGTCTGTCTCTTAAGGCTTTAGAAGTTGCCAGACAGCTTTCATGCATGTTTTCTGTCCATACGTGATACAGTATGATGTGCAGAAGTTATGTAAGAAGACATATCCCAGTTTTCTAGAGCAGGAAATAAAAAGCTTCTCTAACATTGCCGTTGAAGACATCTTTTTTATAATTAGGTTATAATTCAACTCAGATGTCTTCAAATCTTCATTATATTGGATTTGGGTGATAATTAAGTAATTTTCTGACTTTTCTCATGCTATTTACTCTCACATGTGGGATGGGGAATGCTGGAACTGTAGGACTTTTTTTGCCTGAACATGCTTAGAATGCAACCTTAATGTGCTAAGAAAAGGTATATTTAAAAAGCATTGCCTGCAATCAGAAACAAATTTTAAAATAAAAATATGAACATAGTGTGTTTTGAGAACTAGAGAAGTAGTTTTATAAAAATGATGGAATCCTATTACAGATGAACAACCTGTGTTTAAAAAAATGTAACAACTTTTGACTTAAAATTTAAAAATCTTACAATTTAGTTCTTCTGCCACATAAACTGGAGCGGCATTTCAGGATAATTCACTGAACTGTTGGGACAAAAATGACAGGCTTACTATAAACTGTGTCTAATACTGGTTGATTAGGTATGGAGGTCAGAGTGCATATAAGGAACGGTAGTCTTTTCTGGGATAGTGTTGCTGATGACTTTTATGAAGTTTAATGATATTCCCACATACCCTCTTTCCCACCATTAGAAATGCATGTAGGGAATGTTGTGGTTCCCAGTTTCCTGAAGAGTTTAGCCTGTTCTAGAAGGGTAAATGGTATAAGGTTGCTCATCATTAAACCACTTAATTTTCAAAGGGTCTCCTACTTTTGGAAGGCATCTAAATTTGTTCTCAAATATATTCCAGCCTATCTCTAATTATAATTTTATTTCCTCACAATCAAGTGTCTAATTAGGTCTGCAACAGCCCTAGGATTAGTAAATAAAGTTTAGCAATTTCAATATCTTTCTTTACTGCAAGTTTAAATAGTTGTACAGATAGTTTATAAGCACAATATTTTAAGAATATAAGTGGCTGGTCTACTAGGCAGCCTTTGTGCCACTTCAATGCTAGAAATTTAAAAAAATAAAACTTTTGTGGTTTACTACTATTTCTGTGGAATAATTATTAAGTCTTGACCTTTTTAAATCAACCTCATTTGGATGCATCTGAACCAGCAGAGCTGTGTTATATTTTCTATCTTTGCTAGAACTTCTTCTTCAGAAGATGTGTGTATCTTCAGACATGGTTACAATTAACAATGCAGTGGTTCATTATGAAAAAGTAATTCATCTCTCTTTCTCTTTCCCCTCCACACTTCCTGCAAAAACTGGTCTTTTGACTTAACATCTGTTGTTGTACCCTTCACAGGTTTCTATTTGCATTTGAAAGTTCCAGGTCACCTTGTAATTAAAGTCTAGTTTAAATGCAAAAGTACTGAAATTTCCATAATTACGTGGATTTTATGTAGAAGATGACATTCAAATATTTAATGGCTGCAAGAAGCCATCAAATATTTGGGGTGGGGGAATGTTTAAAAAAAAAAAAAAACCTAATTCAGCCATTGTTGTCTTCCATTTGGTGATATTGCAGAATTCAGTAAATAAACCATGAACGCCATGCTCCTTTTTGTTTTGTTGAATGCAGTTGGTGTTACCTCTATAATATGTGCCAGAAAACACATTAGGACAAATGGTAGGAAAAGGGGAAATTACTTTTAAGCTGCTGTTAATCATAACCTTCTACTGTATAATGTATGATGATGTAAACAAAGTTACAGGTGATGGTAATCCCTTGCTTAAAGGGGTCTCTTGCATATGTATCTTCTTCAGGCACTTAAATAGGAGGTACAATATAATTATTATAGAAAAGATTTAATCATCAAAGAGCTAATGAAATAGTTTATTTTTACATTGTGTCTTATGATCTAAAGAGTAATAGGGCCTGTGAGAAATTGCTTTTATCAATAAAATACACCTTTGCCAAGATGAAGTAGTCTTTTAACACTGTTTGATGGTTTTAACACAGAAAGCAATAGTAACAGATACGGCGTTGCCTCCTAGCCTTTGTCTCCATTTTGAAAGTGTCGGGGAGGGTGGGCGGCGGCGATGGCCCTTTTAATGCCCTGCTACTATGATGGTGCAAAATAAGGTGTTAGAGATAAACTTGTTATGCTATTCCAGGTTTTAGGAACAACTTTTGTTTATATACTGTAATTTAAATAAATTGCATTTACATGCCTAGTTTCTGTAATATTTGTGTATACAGTACCAAAATGACACAAGATGTAAATTGTGTATAACTGCACAGACTCCTTTCCCTGGGTGTCTAGGAACATTTAAGTTTTAGTTCATATATTATAAAATGACTATATGTGACTGTTGATTTACAGAATCTACATATCACAAAAGCTAACTATTTGTGGTACTTAAGTTAATAAAAGTGATTCTCTGAGTTCCTTTACAAGCAAGCATTACCCAGTTGATCTGGCAATGACTCTTGTATGAGCCTCTCATACTGATAATTTCCCATTACTTTTTATTTTATTTTCTAGATAGAAATGTTTTTCGCTATACTTTGTGTAACAACTTGTGTTCACGTTATCTATGTTGCTGTAATTTTTCTGCTTTAATTCCTCTTATTTCAAACTGATTAAAAAAATCAAGCTCCTGTAACTTGCACTTTCCCTAATCCTTACTACTCTTGTATGGCAACCAAAATTACTGTAAGAAATAAATATAATATTGCACTAAGGTTGTGGTTCTGATTATAAACAGTAAATGCAGTCTGAATCTTTTGTTTTCCCAAAAAGTTGCCAAACTTGTTAGTAATATTAATGAAACAGTTTTGAAAACTGCACTTACCATTAATGTAGCTCCTATTTGATAGATAAATTGGACACCAAGTTAAAGCATACTGAAATGTATCATTCTGCATTCTATATCCATACTTTAGATGAGAAATTTGTGCAGCTAAAATATGAACAAAAAAACCTTTTCTTATTTTGGGTTGATTTGATTTCCTACTTTGAGGGCTATTTCAAATAAGCAGTTTTTTCTAAACATAAGGTCTTCCCTGTTCTGAGCTTCCCAAAGTAGTATTAGGTGTCATTGCAGACAATAAATTACTGACTTGGTGAACTGCAAAACTGTTGTTATGAAAGGACACATTAAGGAGGCAACGGTCCTGATTCAAGAGCTCTTCATGCTCCTCATTGAGCTGTCTATGAAGAGGAGCACCACCCCACAGAGAATTTTCCTCTCTTGTAAACTCTGATGGTGCTGATCACTAGTTGGACGAAGAAGAGGGTTGCCGGCTGCTACTGGAGGAAAGCTGTCAAGGAGTTCTTTTTGACAGCTAGTCTTGCAGAGCATATGCTGCGTAAGACCACAGTACGTTTCTCCAGAGATGGGGAAAACTATGTAAGTTCCCTTAGCTTCCTTGCAAGAGGCAAAAGGAAAGGAAATAAAAGTAATAAATAAAATTAAAATAGGGAGTTGTTTCCCACCCACACACAGAGAGAGTAACTTTTTGCACAAATACAATTACTTTTTGAAGGAAGATTGTAGTGATAGAAGTCTGTTTCCAGAAGCTGTTCATTTATCAGTATGAAGGGGATGCCTTTTTCAGGGCTGCACTTCCTGTTTTTAGGATTCTTCAATTAGAGTTTATTAATACCTATGGAATCCTTCCTTCCTTCCAAGAGAAAAATGTTGTCTACATAATTTTTTTTGTTTATTCATTTGATTTTCTCCCCACATCTATGCTAAAAAATGCTAAAACAACCTGGAAGCAAATTTCATAAATACAGTTGACATTTATATTCCATAAACAGATTGGTTTGATTTGTTTGGCGCTTTATTCCTATTCTATGTGTAGCTTTTTGATACATTTCAATTGTGTCTAATATGCTAGAGATTTAGTAGTTTTGTTTTATCAAATGTTTTAATTTTTATTCAGCTATTCCAAGACACATGGAAATCTTTATATAGCTAGAGTTAGTCATAATGGCATACATTAAATGAGAGATTTCTTTAAAATGGACTCCCAGCACTGCTGTGAAACTCTGAGGTAGCATTCCAAGTAGTAACTGAAACAGTTTCCTGAAGGAACAACTTTTAACATAAAAGGATTCAAGTTTGCTTGGTGGTTCCTGTTTCAATATTTCTGTCTACTGGCAAAGATAA